TCAAATTATATATAATTTTAAAATACACATTATATAAATCATATACAATACTTATAAATGTGTGGTAAAAGAGAAAGCACTAAACAAAAACTCCGGAAGCAAATTTCTTTTCATTTAACCTCAATATAGATTATCAAGGAAAACTCAATATAGATTATCAAGGATAAGATTGATGCTAGAAAATGAATCATATTAATCAATCATATTGAGAAGTGAAATTTCGATAATTAAAAGTTATTATTCAATGACGATTATCTTGTGAAAAATGAACCGAGCTATTGTTAATTTATTAACGTCTTATCAATTCGTTAAGAAGACGTACCATCACAATTTTCATATCATTTCCTAATAACAAAATGATATTTCCATATACACATAAATTCTATGATATAGCAATCTGAACAGATTTTTTTAATTGGAAGCCGTGGCAGTTGCGTTCGGCGCGGGAGTGGTCGCTGATGTAGACTCCTCTGTCACGATACGTCGATTCTTCTTTATCCTCTTCCATTCGCCATTCGTATAATTCATTTGGAAATGCGTTTCAACCAACATCGGGACAGTTGTTCCATCCGATTGTGTTACTTCTTCTATATTTTCCGAAAGCATTACTGTGACTATATTGCCCAATTTAGGACAAGGATTATCTGTAAGAATAATTGATAATATTATATATACGATAAAATAAGAAAATAATATAAATAATATTATATATATGATAAATAAAGAAAAATAATTGATAGTATTATATATACGATAAAAACACGTGAAATTTGCATATTAGAAATATATATAGACATACCTCTAGAACCAGCCATAAAACCTAAGATAAGAGCCTTTTCTGGACGCGTTACTTTATTTGCAGTTCTAAACATTTCTTGTGCTTCCAACATTTGTTCTCGCTGTAATCCGATAATAATAACATTTCTATATCTATGATATACAAAACCAATATGAGAAATTTCGGCAAATAATTTACCGTAAGAGATAGGCCTTTTCTTGGATTAGCCGCCGCATTAGGTTGTGCAGTAGTTTGTATACGAATCTGAGTGACTGTTTGAGCCGGTCTGACCGTTTGTACGGCAACGGGAGTACTTTCCACAGATGTTATCACCGTCGGTGTGGCTACTGCTAGGATAGCAGTGGGCGTTGTGGTGGTAGTTGTTAACGTAGTAGCTGTGCGACATAAAATGCTTAATTAAAACCTACACAAAGCAATATAATCTTTAATGATTGCAACGTTCATCTTACATGTTTGCTGCGTAGTTGTAACCGAAATGCTGCTTGGCGTGCTAGGTGCGGTATAGGATTGCGCTGGTGCCACTGTAGCTGGTGTAACTGGTGTGGCAGGTGGATTTATCGCAGCCAATCCTTGTGCGTATTCCGGAGTCGCCGGGGTTTCCGTGACTGGCGAGGCCGCTGAAGCTGCTGCTGCCGCAGCGGCCGCTTGCGCTTCCGCAACTTTCTTCTGTTGCTCTTCCAGTTCCAACATCTTTTTCCTCTTCTTTGCTTGTGCATATCCGAGAGGTTGCTCATTAATATCCAGTAATTTAATACCTCCATCTTTTCGAATTCTACTGCTGATCGATGTTCTATTTGACATAGAAGTATTTGTGAGTGAGGGAGATCGAAAACCACTTGTCGGAACTCTGCTTGGTATTCCCTTCAAAGGTGCTAAAAAAATACAAATAATATTATGAGAAAATCAAGCATACATGTAATATATATTTGTGAATTTATATTTACTTGTGTCAGTCATCTTCCTTGGCATTCCTCTGCTTCTCACTGGTACAGTAGGAGCTGTACTTTTTTTAAGATTATTAGCGGCATCAGTGCTTTTTTGAAGCAATTCTGCTCTTAAGGCCGCGCTTTTTGGTTTTCTCTTGAGAGTGAAATGTTTGACTGGTGTCGGTTGCTGGCCTACTACTGAAGTCAATGCAGTCTTGTTAAGATAATGACACTCTAAGGGAAGCATAGCAGGATCATTTTGCTTTTTTAGAAGTTTCCGCAAATCATTGACCAAGTCACCAAAAATTGGCCTATGTTCATCCAAATCAGTAATATCCGTATTCAAAGAACCAGTTGATGGAAAAGTCTTCATCGCTTCGGATAACATCGATACCCACAATTCACTATCGAGTGATGCAACTTCAATGATCTCTTCCAGTTCCACACGCCACTATTATCGACACATTGAAATAATTAAATTTTAATAAAATTTAAGAATTTACATAAAAAATTCTAGATTTGTTTATTAAATTTTCTAATATAAATCTTGACATGACGAATGATAAGTTAAATTATATCATATCATAAATTCATCAGGAATTTCCATTATAAATTTCATACAGGAATCATAATTTTTCCAACTATTGAATTGAATCGGAAAATGGTAATTTCCTATACATATTAGTCCTACGCACAAATTTTATACTAAGCATTTCAAAAACATCGCATGAATTGAGGACAGCTAAATGGATGGCGCGTGTACATAAATAGGCTAGTGCCAGATGGTGAAAAATGTGTTTGTTATTAATTATCATGTTTGTAGAAGCAACAGACATTTCGATAGAGCGAATTCGTGAAAGATGTAAAAGTAGTGGTATAAACGCGAGCGCGCTTACCTCTTCCACATTGCGTCTGGGTATGTGGAAAAACGACAGGAGTAGCTTGAGTTTAACCTGCGTTTGCAGGTCGGGAAAACAATCCTTGATATTCCGCAATACTTCGGCATTGAGCTGCGAGCAGATCGAGCTGCCAGTCCAGCTATCGTTTGACGTGCCGAGCTTGTTATGTAGCCACAACGATGTATCACTGTCCCTCACATTCGCCATATTGGAGTCGTTTGCTTTTGACGCGTGCCGTACCTCGCCGTAGTGCGCCACATGCGGTTCCCGCCATAAAGCAGCGCGCGCGCGCGCGCGCACACCTCAGAGGGCGATACTCATGTGACCTCCCCTCCCCCTCTGCCCTTGTCAAATTTATGTTTTAAGGGCGATATTCATAATCCAAATCCAATTCAATTTTGTATTCAAGGTTGTCCTAAATATAGTATTGATAATTTAATCTTGTATTTAAGATTTCCTTAAGAGTGAAATTTAATAATCACTATAAGAGTATTCAAAATCCAAACCCAATTCAATTTTGTATTCAAGCTCATTAAAACGGTGAGCCAATTCTGAATCCTCTTTTATCGATAAAAGTATCTCTAAAAGTAGCTCATTGCTAATAAAATGACTTATAAGCCATTTTATTGACCATTTTTTAAGACATATTTGTTGATAAAAGAGGATTCGGAATATGAATTAATAATATATTCTTGTCAAAATTTCCTTAAGCAGTATTCATAATTCGACCTTGAATGCAAATCGTCTGATATTCGATTCCTATAATCAGATAGGATCGCCCTAAAGATGGTATTCATGATTATTAGGACGACTTTTTTATTAAATTCAAATGTGCAAATAAGTTTTGATAACAATGTCAGTCTCTGTTTGAAATTTATGAATTCTATTAGTTCTACTTTTTATATACTAAGCAAAATTGAAAGTATATTAATCTTTCTGAAATAATGAAAATACTCAAATTTTAGGCCAGCCAATCGAGTAATCGATCAAAGAAGCACAAATCGAACAAATTAGTACTCATGGAAATATATCGCATTATTGCCAGATTTTTGCTACGTTAGATAGAGGGACCTGAAGGGATCTTTTTCGAACAAAGAACTGTCAGCCTTTCATTGGCGACTTGTCGGTAATGGTGTACTGTGTGTCGTCATTCGTTCTTTGATCAATCTTGAGATAAAAACTGCGAATATGGTAAGCACGAATGCATTTTCGGACTCTCAGGAATCTGAGTTGATAGATGAGGAAACTTACAAGGACATCGAAAACACATTGTAAGTGATTTTTGTTTAATCATCTGCTTATTGTACCGGTTCACCATGTTCGCCTCACAAGCGCTTTTAAATGCGCAGTAATTTCTATGGAATCGTTTCTTTTGTTTATTTTCATAAAGCGGAGGTACTTTGCCATTGCCGGAAAATATATCCGAATTTGATGTCCCCGAACAAAAATACGATATCTCACAACCTGACCTATCAACAATTGAGGAAAAAATTTCTATTGGAGAAAAGGGGTTAAGAAGAAAATTACAAATGGAAGAAGAAGAAGAATATTTTCTCACTCAATTATATCCGTCACTCAACGATTATTCAAATCAATTAAATTTCCAATATTCTTTTGGGGATGGTGGTGGTCAGGATTGGGTGGTAAGTATTCTGAAAATTTCTACAATTAAAAAGTTTGTATTAAATTGAATAGCAAATTTGACCTTTCAAAACATACTAACTTAATGTACAAAAGCTACTCTGAAATTATTGAAATGTACACGTATATAAACATTTTTTAAATATATAAATATTTAACAATGACCTTATTAATAGATCTTTTGATGATGAAATAATTAATATATATTGCAGTTAGATTTTTTTATATATAACAGTTTTTAATATATATTAATGCAGTATAATATAAATGGCTAAATTTGCTGTGAAATTTATGTGATTATAGATATATTGAATTATATTTATATTTTCTAATTTAATTTAAAACAAAGTTTGTTGCCAAATAACATGTACCTACCTTGCAGATAAATTCTGCCTCTTGATGATAAATGCGATTAGATTATATAATTTTTCTATGGAATATTCCATATAAACAGCAATTTCTTGTAAGTATCATCTTATGATACTTTTGAAATTGTCCAAAGATGAAATAAGATGATAAGTAAAGGTGAAAGTAAGAACTCCTGTTTTTGGAAGTGTTTTAATATCTTAATATTTAATGTTATTCGTTGTACATTATATTATTAAATGTATATAAATCTGCTTAAACTTTTTCGCTTAAACTCTTATCTATGAAATCCATTAGATTAATCTATTCAAATTAGAATTATGTTTAAGCAGGTTTTATATATTGCAGATATAAGTTTTTTTTATATAATAGATTGGTGCTAAATAAAATCAAGTATGCATGATGATTTTATTTAAATTTTTGTAAATTATTAAATTTTTATGGATTTTATATATATAAAACTTTAATTAATGTTTTATAATACATAATAATATCATCAAATAATTTAATAAGTTAATTTATGTTGTCTATTTATTTTGTTTTTGTTTAGTATTCGCAGTCATTGAAGAAAGTTTTTATCAAAATGGAAAAGACTCTACCTTTACGATTTTCGTGGGAGCCGTCAACTTCAGGTTTATTCTTACGCACAGAATTAGCTTTTGTATTAGAACAATATAAAAGCGACCCTGTTAAACGATGTCATAATCATATTGCATTAACTAATCCTGTCAATCAAAACATGAATCCTGACAGAATTAAACATGTAGTACATTGCGTTAATCATGCTTCTAGTATGTATCAAGAAGAAAATGAACATCTTTCTATCTTAACGCCACTTTGCAAACCCGAAGCTGGTTCACAATATGTACCAATGTGTTTCAAATTTTTTTGCAAAAATAGTTGCACATCTGGCATGAATCGTAGACCAACAGAATTGATATTTACTTTAGAGAATAATAATGGGCAGATTTTGGCTCGTCGAACATTATTAGTTAGAGTATGTAGCTGTCCAAAACGAGATAAACAAAAAGAGGAAACAGAATTAGAGCCAATACCTGTTAAACGAAAGCTTGTTTTACCACCAGCTAAAAAGATGCCATCCTCATCTGATATGCTTGTTTATAAAGTAGAATTAAATATTGTCGGTAAAGAGAATTATTTGTCCGTCTATAAACACGCATATGATGTTATGGCCGGTCAAGCGGCGAGAACTGGTATGCATGAATTTTTTAAGCCATATATGGATGATATATTACATAACATGCCTTAAAAAGACATATGTTTTAAATTTTCTTTTTACATTACTTATTTTTTAAAAAACTACTTATTTTTTTAAAAAGTAGATTATGAATTTTAATCATTCGTTAGCAAAAATTTATCTTTGCTTCTTAGTATTTGATAAGTTTGCATGTTCATGTTATTATAAATAATTGTGATTTTATTACATATAATTCGATTCATAATCAAAAATTAAAGATACTAGCGTGAATCGCTAGAAATACTTCAAAGAATTTTATACGACGTATATTATAATAATATTAAGTTAATAATAATATCTATTCAATTGTCTTTCATGATATATAGAACGTTCTAAAATTTAGGAATCAAAACTTAGAACTTTAACAGGAAGATATTTTAAAAGTCAATAAAAAATGCACAAATATCTTTCTCTTTTTCTGACTTTTTAAACATTTTTTTTTAAAGATCGACTTGTATATGTATTTATTTATAATAGTAAACATGTTTACAATCTGATATTCTAAGTAATAATTTTACGAACTTATTTCTTAATTTTTTAAGAATATTCCTGTTTTAACATTTGTTCGCGAATTTTAGAACTCTGCATGATATTACTCGTGCAAACTTATAAATTAATTATTTTGTTTGCTGTTATCTCATATAAGATAATTGATACAATATGTGTTATAAGTTACTACTTGTTAAGACATTGTATCATTGAAAAATAAATAATTTTGTTACTTCTCTCAAAACACATTTTTTGAAATGTTTTTAATATTTACTTTGCATCGATCGCAATTATAAATTTGTTGCGAATAACTGGTATTATTATATATATTCTATATATTATTCTTTTCATACGTACAGTCTATCGTGTGCTCTATACTCTGATATTTGTATATCAATAGCCTTTAATAATAATGTGTTTGGCAATGAGGCAATATATTGTGAAGATAATATTGCAGAATCCTCGAGGCTTGCGACGGGTTTTCGCAATTGTACATCCGTATCGTTGTCACCCCAAGCATGCAGAGTCCATTCCCATCTGCTATTTGAATGTGTCATCCTTGGAGGATATGTCATCCATGCCATTTCATCTTTGCACTATATATAAAAATAAAACAAGTTTTAAATCTTTGCAAGTAGATCTACGTATTTTCGATTATCATGATTGTATATAATTCTCGTGATTAATAATAGTTTGTGTAATATTATATAATCTATAAAATTTTCGTTTTATAATCGATCTCTATATTCGCCAAGCCTAATAAAATCATTAATCAAGTGTCATATTCATAGAGATATCTCTTATAGATATTATTTATCTTATAGATAAGGTATTTCTTATCTTATATATTTGAAATATTCTCTATCTTATTCTGTTTTTATTGCACATGTATAAGTTATTCGATAAAAAAATAATTTATTTCATTTGATCCAAGTTTTTTTTATAATTATAAATTTCTATTATATATCATTTATACAAATATGTATATTTTTAATTAAAATTAAATTGATAACTTCAATGATTATATTAAATAAATCAACAAGATGTGTAATATATTAAAGACAAATATCCGAATCAATTGAGATGATTATAAAACGCTAAACATAATATTCTTTCTACAAATACGTGAATTATTAAAACGATTACGGAATGATATACATTTTTTATTATCTCTTGGCGATTTCTTTGCACAGAGACTTTAAGAATTAAAATAAAAAATACAAAATGTATTCTTCGCATAAATATGACAAATCATTTTGTATTGAAAGATATACCTGAAAGAAAAATATATTGTTTCCATGATGGAATATATAAAGAGCTTCATGGCCGAAAGGAAGCGGAAATGGGATTCTTGCGTTTCCGGAGTAGAAGTGAACTTGCGGTATTGCATGAGTCCTGATATGTTCCAATAATGAATCGCATGTCACTACTTCTTTACAAGATTGCAAAAACGGACATGTCAGCTGTACACAAGATATAGAATCCGTTGATCCACCCCACCTTGGTGTTTGAGGTAAGCTCAACGATTGCTGGCTGAAATCCATCGTAGATGCTTCAACAATTCGCGATGAAGAATCATTGATACGAGCTTTGCTATCTCTTGACAATTCGCCAGTACTGGCTGACTTCGTGCGATCATTCAAGGACAATCGCACACGTAAACTATTAATGTTTGTCGCTCCATCAGGAATTGTCACAGCTTCTTCTGATATTTCAGACACTTTAGTTAAATTATCCGCGGAAGCAGCTTTTTCTCTGCCGCCGAGCAACAATCTGGCCAATAGGAATTGTCTTGGTTTCAACATGGCACAATTGTTCTTTGACTGATTTGCGATGGAAGTCTCTTGTCTCTTGCTACTTTTTTTACCAAACAGTTGACCGCGTAAGTTATAATGACCGGATGCGGTTTTGTTTATCGTCTCATCGTTATTCACGTTAAAGGTGTCACGAAGTACTCTATGCAATTTGTCCGCGAGAAGACATCGACCCTGACCAAGTCGGACTCTGCAAACTGGACAACGCGATGTCTTCGGTCTGCAGACGACGCATAAGATGTGGCCGTGAACACATTGCGAGACCGGAGGCGTAGCACTTTCCAAACAGATCGGGCATTCCAAGGCATGAACCTAAAAAAAAAGAATTTTATGATAAACAAATTCTACATGTTTCATCCAGTTTAATTCTGGATTAATCATTTGGTTTCCTAAAGCGATGTTTAATTGAAGAGATCGATAATAATTCTGTATTTTTTAATTTGTAAAATGTACACACCGTTCCTGACAATGCATTTGCAAGGTTTTTGGCTACATTCGGAAGTGGACCTTTCAGAGCTAGCCCAGTATCATTTTGCTCCTCTTCTTGATGTGTGTATCTCCAAATGAAAAATGTTAGATCTTGAGTATTTTCCTTGTTACGAATCAAAATAGCGATATCCTTGATTTTTAGACCCAACAAATCGGTGTCATCAATACCCAATAAACAATCACCCGATCTAATAAAATATACGAAATAATTTATATGAATAAATATGAAATCAGCTTACACAAAAATATACATTTGATTTATTAATATGATAAAATTATATTTACGTTAATATATATAACTGAAAAGTTGTATATTAACTGTGAAAAAAATATATTTTTTAAAAACTATATATTACAATGTACATCTGTACTTATTTAAAAGGTCCTAAGAGTACATGTATATCTATGATATCTGCCGATATTTTTAAAATCACACAAATCTCACCTCAATCCTGCCAAATCAGCAGGACTATTATCCTCGACATAACCGACCCACGGATATGGATCCCATTTCGACTTGGTTAAATGAAATCCGCAAGATTTGCCATGCATACACGATCCTGCATGGACTTTTCGCATTTTAAGGACCATCTTTCCCGGTGAATGTGAATTCATATCCTCTTTTGGCAGAGATGTTATGATTTTCACGCCAGCTGCTTCCGTTAGAACTTCGGAACACGAAAAATGCGGCATACTTCTTCACTTTATTATTGTTTTTATTATTTTTGATGATAAACAAAAATCAAATTACACTCTTTGCTAATATAAATTTATTAATAAAGGAAGACAAAACATACTTGAAAAAATAAATATTTGAATACTTGAATAAAATTTGAAATTGTCTTCATATAAGTAAAAAATTAATTTTCAAGAATTAATTTATCAATTGACTTTACTTGCTTAATATGTGTAAATCCATTTTGATCATTAAGACACTTTGAGTAGAACTGCTTTGGAAGCACCGGATCGTGTCTGATTCTCAGCGAGAAAGAAAAGTCACTTGCTCGTTTACCTTCACCCATTTACACGTTCTTGACATTGTCTCTTACGTCATATTACGATGAGACAAATATATGTCGTTCCCTTTTACTCCAACACATCGATGCTTTTTTTAGAAATGATATTTTCAATGAAAATTACATCTCTTACAGCCAATTTAATTTACATAACATATATCTATACATGGCAGTTTTTATAATATGTGGAAATAAGTAATACTTTTAACTATAAACTTTCTTAACAATTTACAATGACAAAAATTAAATGTATAATTTACAAGAGTGTTAATATACATATTAATAATACATCTTACTAATACATTTTTGTAATGTAGACAAATATAGTAATTTGCATACATATTTTTATATCTTACACTTGATTATCATTATTTGATCGCAAGAAATCAGTTTTTATATGGAGCAAAAGAGATTGGGAGAGAAATTATTATATAATTATTGCGTATAAATCTGTATATACATATATATATATGCATGCATGTTCTGTAATTTTAATAAAATTATATGTATATATCTTACATTTTCACTTATGCGGTATTATTAAATTGGAAGAACATATATATATAAGAGATTGTCACTGACAGGGCCGGTCAAGTTAAGACGGCAAGCAAAAATGGCAATTATTTCTGTAGACATCATTAAGAGAAACTCATCTATATTATATGACTAAATCACGCGATATGACTATAGGAAGATCAAAATATTTCAACATAAAAAATACTGCTTTTATAATATATAATATAATCATAATATATTAAATAGTCGTTTTTTCCTCTTTCTCAAAAAAAGATAATCTATAATCAAATCAGACAAATTTAAAATCATATTCTCTTTATAGTCGATTATAAATAACATAAGAGTTCACTGTTCATTAGCATTGTTTGCAGTATATAAAAAAAATACTTTTGTAAAACTTAATGATTTAAAATAATCATTTAATAATTACCTAATTGTTAAAGATTATTTATGAGAATGGCAAGAGTTATTAATCTTATTTTTAATAAATTGTGCACAGATGTCTAAAGTCAGCCCCAATGGATAATATGGATAATAATATATAATTTTTGTTTAAACTAAAATAATATAGACATTGTGTAATGGGGAAGGTGACGATCTTACGCATTTGCGAATATAAAAGATCGATATTCACATAGACAAGCATAAAAAAATGTTAATTTTCTACTGATATAATATATTGAGACATTGGCTCAGTGTATGCAAGGTGGTGTGCGCCATAGCTTTGAGAACCAAGAGATCTGAGTCCAGATGCAGATCCGAATTTTCGATGGATTGCGCCAGGGCAAGATTATGTTTCTCCACTTTTCTTAATTGTTCTTGGCAATTAGCAAAGGCATCTAACACTTCTAGTTTAACAACAGGATTCCTGCCAGAATTCCCAGGATGTTCACGTGGTGGTAACGGAGGATGGCTGCTGGCTATTGCCCTAGTATACATCTCCGTAACTGCCCGCAGCTTGTCTACCCATTCCTGGCGTGCTCGTGCATCCGTAGCTCGCAGTTTGATCATATCACCTAAAAGATCATATCTATTATTAGGAGCAACTACGTTAGGATTGGATTTAACCATCGGATACTTACCTGTGGCAGAGTTGACGGTGAATGTGTTCGAATCCTCGTCACTGGGGGCTATCACAGCACCTGCTAGATATATCGAACACCGTGGCCTCTGATTCTTTTCAGATTCACTGAGAAAGTAATGCAATTCGCCAGTCTCCGGGCTCAGGATGAACCAACGATACTGCCAACCCTTCATAGCATTCGTGTATTTGTGCAACAGACCCTCGTAGGGATGCCTCGTTTGCACGTTCATCGTTTACCGATCTCGTTTCTTGGAAACCTCTCGCTCGACAAACAACGGGAATGCCACAAGAGATACGTCATCTGAGCCAGCGCGATCGTGCTCAGCTGACACATCCAGGTTAGGTCGTTATAAAAAGAAACAAAAAGAAGACTAAAATCCCGTCATCGAGAATATAATACACCCCACTCGCGGCAATTTCGGTGTCACGAGTGATTCAGTATCTTCACTGGAAATTCCCCTATTTGTGCGAAATGAATATCGGAAAATAAATGCAGATCTCTCCGAGCGAGCGCTTTTCGCCGTTTTCGTTTTCTATATCAGCTATCCATCTCCGTAAGTCACAGATCGAGATAAATCAGTATGATATAAGTCGCAAATAACAATTGTCTATAAAAAAACCATACCAATCATATATTGTATACATATAAACAATGCAGTTAAGCGCAATCGCAGCTCTGCACGTGTTCCTTCGCGCATAAACTTCATGCAAATTCATCCGCATAAACCTTGACGTTTTATTGATACGAGATTACATGCAAATAGCCAATTATATAGGTACTCTATAGCACAAAAAAAAACTGCGAAAAATAAAACACTTCGTATCGAATAACCGAAATCGTTAATAAGCGTGGGGAAAAACATTTTTGTGATGGGAGAATAACTTATTATACTTATTTTTTATTAAGCTATACAAAAATCTTATTTCAAATCTAAATATCTATAGCAAAAAATAATAGAATTCTCATAAACATAAGCATGAAAATAAAATTATTCGAAACAAAAACATGATGAACGACGGACTGCAATTATGAAATCTAGATGTTATATTAGACACACAATAGAATTAAAAATAATGAAATGTGTAACTGTCCGTTTTTCGAAATATAAAAAAAATATAAGAAACGTTGTTACAGAAAATTGTATCTTATAACTTAAAAGACAAAAAATAACCCTGCGGTCAGATAATCTATAAAATTATATGTAAATTAAAACTTTTATACGAAAATTATACAAGTCCGCATTTGATCAATTCGGCACGAACATCTGGTAATTCGATTTTATAAGTATTCTTCTCATGTTCCACGATTTTAATCGTGATACTTTTACTCGGCACCACCAGCTCTGTTATCTTCTTCTGTACATCGGCCGAATAATTTCCATTATCAACTGGTGCCAAATCTGCGAGCAGTAAACAAATTTGAATATGAACATGAGAATTATTCTATTTTTAACTTTTATTTTTAACAATTTCAATACTTACTGACAATAGTACACATATTCGCCAACGCTTCAGGTGTGATAAAATCTTTAGGCATTATTCTTATGTTCTTATGTTCTACTAGCTCTGTATTTCCCCAATCAAGGAAGAAAATTTTAGATGTCGTGTCTGATTCTGTCGGATTTAAGCATACTGCCCGATACCATGCCTCTTCGTACAACGCCAAACATAATTCCTGCATTCTTGGTATATAATACTCTGTTTTATCACAATACTCTTTCAACTGAAACAAAATAAGAGTATGTTATACATATGTTGTACATATTTTTTAATAATGGTAAAGTCCTTACAAATTCAACATATTATTTACCAATGCAGGCATCACTTCAAAGATATGAGTTATTAAATCGGTATCTGCAGGACCTAACATATACATTGTTGGATCCGTCGATGAATCCAATACTACTGCTTTCACCGTATCACCTACTCGTCCTAAACTTGCGAATTCTATATTATCGAACATGTAGCATGTATGATCTGTATCAGGAAAATAGTAAATTTATAATTGTATGTAAAATGCAGTTGTATACAAAAAAATTATATTATAACAAGACACTTAGGATACATAAATAGAAAAACTAAAGTAAAAAATAAGTATAAGGAAAAATAATACAACAATTATACGCTAATTCTGATTGAACAAAAATTTTGTGTAATAAAATATCACATTAAGAAAATCATGTTGAAAGACTTAAATAATAGTCTATCGAAAAATCTTTGCATAATAAATTACGATAAAAAGCAAATATATTGCATTAATTTTTAAAAATTTCACGCAATTTCTTGTTATTACCTTCTTCCTTTTTCCATCTTGGAATTAATAATTCCTTTAGTTTATTATTGACACATTCTCCTGTAGGCATCGTCAGACAAACTCCATCTTTTGGTGATGCACCTTCGTACGTACATGTTAGAGGTATTTCATTGCCTGTTAAATTGCGTAGATAAGCATCAACTTCTTGATTGCTCGGTACGTCACGAGGAACATCTTTCAAGAATATTTTTGTCGAACAATACCGTTGCTATAAAAACATATATAAACATTACAATTTAAAACTGATGTTATTCCACGTCCCCCTCCCCTCCATATTCGATGATATGATAATGTCTTCACATAATGCTTTCCCTCATATGCTGACTGATTAGATTAGATTAATATACTGGTCTTGCTGTTTGAAATGCTGTAGAAAATTAGCCTGTGAAATTAGCAATCACGGTAAGTCGGTTGCATAGCAAAATGCGTAACACAGAAAAAAATGAACAATATTAGTAATGGGTTATTTTTATATATTCTTAGTTTCCGATCAAATCAAGCATTTTTATGTATTCTTAGTTTCCGATCAAATCAAGCACAATTATGTTTATTTTGTAGTCTTTCTGGTTTCATCTATTTAATCATGCAATCTTAACATTTTTATTGATACATACAAGATACGAAAGCAAGATGCAAAATAATGTACCGTATCAAATATAGAACTCATATATGTCAATGTATCATGTTCACACACAAAGTATGAAAATGTTTTAGGTACAAAGCATGAAAGTGCATATATCAGTATTAAAAAAAAGAGAGAGAGAAGAAAAAAAAGAAAAAAAAGAAAAAAGGGGGGAAAGAAAAAACCAACTAGACAATAGATGGCTTCCATCGACAGACTGGGTCTTCGTGTCGAATAATTTTTACTTTTCTGAATTTCAAGACAATGTTTATCGCGTGTTAATTCAACGATCTTGCAACGCCGTCTACTCAAAGCTAAATCTAATTTCATCCCTTCCTTATTAAATCGATAATCAAAT